AGTCCCACATCGGGCTCCCTGCTCAGCGGGGGGGTCTGCTTCTCCCTCTGACCCTCTTCCCTCTCGTGCTCTCTGTCTCTCATTCTCTCTCTCAAATAAATAAATAAAATCTTAAAAAAAAAAAAAACCTATGGTCACCCAAAAAAAAAAAACAGATTCACACTTTAAAAGCTCCCTGCCTAAGTGAGCCTTGTCATGACCTGATCCATCGCCCCATCACCACTTAACTTCTCCAGTCCACCCTGACACCATCTGCGGTGCTGCCCAGCTCCCTGGCTCTTCTCAGAACCCATCCTCCAGAAGGGGTGAGGCTTAACACCCCTTTCATTCAATACCCACCAGGTATTAACGGTAGGTACTCAACAAATACTTGTTGAATGAATAAATATATAAAATTAATCAGACTTCTGTTTATAAGTCTTTGATAGGTACTCAACAAATATTTGTTGAATGAATAAATACATAAAATTAAGCAGACCTCTGTTAATAAGTCTTTGATTCTTTTAGAGCAAGAGTTCTCAAAGTGTAGTCCTCAGACCGGCAACCAAAGAATCATCGGGGAACTTAGAAATGCAAATAAATTCTCAGGCCCCACCCAGACCTACCGATTCAGGAACTGGGTAGAACAAGCTCTCCGAGTGATTGTGATGCGTGTACAGTTTGAGCACCACTGTGTTAGAGCATCCCACCTAACAGGGCATGTGGTAGGCACACAAAAATATTTACTGCATATCGGGACCTTGAGGGTCCGCACACAAGCCTGGAGGCTGTGAAGGCACTGACCAGATGCTAGGTTTGCCTGCTAAGGATAACAGGAACATGTTTAATTTCAGTCACCAGAAGGAAATCAGAGCAAGCGAAGAGGCCGTCCCCCTCACCCTTATTGCTAGGAAGGCTATGGAACTCCTAAAACAGCTGAATCAAGAGTAGCTGACAAGGAGCTCCCAAGAGCTGGAGAGTGTGAGCAGGAGCCCCCCGGAAACTCTAGCCTGGAAGCTGCTGTCTTCCTCGGTCTAGAGCAGTAGCCACATGAACAAGCCCACGGAAGCTCCGGAATAAAATGAAACCGCGTCCAAACCAGTGGCCAAGGGCTATAGGGTTGGCAAGTGCAAATGCTCAAAAGCTGAAAAGATACTAACTGCCCCCAAGTGTCAGGCAGAGAGGCAGGAAAAAAGCTCGATTGAAAAGAGAAGCCCTTTGTGGCTTATGACTCTGGTCAGGGTGACAGGCGTTTTCTTCTGAGCAAAACCTCCAAATCAGCAGCCAGAACGCCAGATACCTCAGATTTCTCCTCTCTAAGCTCTTTGGGCAGAAATAGCGAAGTTGTGCCTTAATGCTTCATAAATTCCTAAAGGACTCACTCTACTGAAACACCTACTGTGTGTCCTGCCCTTTCCACACCACTGTCCACAATGCAGCCACAGAAACCTCTGATCCCTCACACCCCTGATTAAAATTCTTCAATGGCGGGCGCCTGGGTGGCTCAGTTGGTTAAGCGACTGCCTTCGGCTCAGGTCATGATCCTGGAGTCCCGGGATTGAGTCCCGCATCAGGCTCCCTGC